CTAACTTATTCTTCACTCTTAATTCTCATCATTCAATAACAACACATCTCTTTTCTTATCTTAAATATTTAATTATTTCTCGAATTTAAAAAATTTTATAAAATTTATTAATAGAATTATTTATCTTCGACTCACTAATATTCATAATAAGTAATAAATCTCTTACCTATTTCTACATCTTCATACTCTTCATTTCATCCTCACATCTCATCATTTCTCGATTCTTATTTTATTACTTTAATTATTTCTCGAATTTAAAAATTTTTAGAAAATTTATTAATAAAATTATTTATCTTCCTCTCATTTATATTCCTAAAATCATAATAAATTCTAACTTATTCTTCACTCTTAATTCTCATCATTCAATAACAACACATCTCTTTTCTTATCTTAAATATTTAATTATTTCTCGAATTTAAAAAATTTTATAAAATTTATTAATAGAATTATTTATCTTCGACTCACTAATATTCATAATAAGTAATAAATCTCTTACCTATTTCTACATCTTCATACTCTTCATTTCATCCTCACATCTCATCATTTCTCGATTCTTATTTTATTACTTTAATTATTTCTCGAATTTAAAAATTTTTAGAAAATTTATTAATAAAATTATTTATCTTCCTCTCATTTATATTCCTAAAATCATAATAAATTCTAACTTATTCTTCACTCTTAATTCTCATCATTCAATAACAACACATCTCTTTTCTTATCTTAAATATTTAATTATTTCTCGAATTTAAAAAATTTTATAAAATTTATTAATAGAATTATTTATCTTCGACTCACTAATATTCATAATAAGTAATAAATCTCTTACCTATTTCTACATCTTCATACTCTTCATTTCATCCTCACATCTCATCATTTCTCGATTCTTATTTTATTACTTTAATTATTTCTCGAATTTAAAAATTTTTAGAAAATTTATTAATAAAATTATTTATCTTCCTCTCATTTATATTCCTAAAATCATAATAAATTCTAACTTATTCTTCACTCTTAATTCTCATCATTCAATAACAACACATCTCTTTTCTTATCTTAAATATTTAATTATTTCTCGAATTTAAAAAATTTTATAAAATTTATTAATAGAATTATTTATCTTCGACTCACTAATATTCATAATAAGTAATAAATCTCTTACCTATTTCTACATCTTCATACTCTTCATTTCATCCTCACATCTCATCATTTCTCGATTCTTATTTTATTACTTTAATTATTTCTCGAATTTAAAAATTTTTAGAAAATTTATTAATAAAATTATTTATCTTCCTCTCATTTATATTCCTAAAATCATAATAAATTCTAACTTATTCTTCACTCTTAATTCTCATCATTCAATAACAACACATCTCTTTTCTTATCTTAAATATTTAATTATTTCTCGAATTTAAAAAATTTTATAAAATTTATTAATAGAATTATTTATCTTCGACTCACTAATATTCATAATAAGTAATAAATCTCTTACCTATTTCTACATCTTCATACTCTTCATTTCATCCTCACATCTCATCATTTCTCGATTCTTATTTTATTACTTTAATTATTTCTCGAATTTAAAAATTTTTAGAAAATTTATTAATAAAATTATTTATCTTCCTCTCATTTATATTCCTAAAATCATAATAAATTCTAACTTATTCTTCACTCTTAATTCTCATCATCTTCATCATCTAATACATCACTCCCTTATTTCTATTTTTAAAAAATTTAGATTCCTAAACACTATGATATATAATTATTTTTATTCTTCTCACAACCTTAATGAAAAATAATAAAATCTTTTTTTTTATTTTTATTTCTTCATTTTTTTCATGCTTATTTCTTCATCATCCGCATCTTCATAATCCATTCTCACACTTGTCTATTCTTATTTTATTACTTTCATTATTTCTCGAATTTAAAAAATTTTATAAAATTTATTAATAGAATTATTTATCTTCGACTCACTAATATTCCTAATAAGTAATAAATCTCTTACCTATTTCTACATCTTCATACTCTTCATTTCATCCTCACATCTCATCATTTCTCGATTCTTATTTTATTACTTTAATTATTTCTCGAATTTAAAAATTTTTAGAAAATTTATTAATAAAATTATTTATCTTCCTCTCATTTATATTCCTAAAATCATAATAAATTCTAACTTATTCTTCACTCTTAATTCTCATCATTCAATAACAACACATCTCTTTTCTTATCTTAAATATTTAATTATTTCTCGAATTTAAAAAATTTTATAAAATTTATTAATAGAATTATTTATCTTCGACTCACTAATATTCATAATAAGTAATAAATCTCTTACCTATTTCTACATCTTCATACTCTTCATTTCATCCTCACATCTCATCATTTCTCGATTCTTATTTTATTACTTTAATTATTTCTCGAATTTAAAAATTTTTAGAAAATTTATTAATAAAATTATTTATCTTCCTCTCATTTATATTCCTAAAATCATAATAAATTCTAACTTATTCTTCACTCTTAATTCTCATCATCTTCATCATCTAATACATCACTCCCTTATTTCTATTTTTAAAAAATTTAGATTCCTAAACACTATGATATATAATTATTTTTATTCTTCTCACAACCTTAATGAAAAATAATAAAATCTTTTTTTTTATTTTTATTTCTTCATTTTTTTCATGCTTATTTCTTCATCATCCGCATCTTCATAATCCATTCTCACACTTGTCTATTCTTATTTTATTACTTTCATTATTTCTCGAATTTAAAAAATTTTATAAAATTTATTAATAGAATTATTTATCTTCGACTCACTAATATTCCTAATAAGTAATAAATCTCTTACCTATTTCTACATCTTCATACTCTTCATTTCATCCTCACATCTCATCATTTCTCGATTCTTATTTTATTACTTTAATTATTTCTCGAATTTAAAAATTTTTAGAAAATTTATTAATAAAATTATTTATCTTCCTCTCATTTATATTCCTAAAATCATAATAAATTCTAACTTATTCTTCACTCTTAATTCTCATCATTCAATAACAACACATCTCTTTTCTTATCTTAAATATTTAATTATTTCTCGAATTTAAAAAATTTTATAAAATTTATTAATAGAATTATTTATCTTCGACTCACTAATATTCATAATAAGTAATAAATCTCTTACCTATTTCTACATCTTCATACTCTTCATTTCATCCTCACATCTCATCATTTCTCGATTCTTATTTTATTACTTTAATTATTTCTCGAATTTAAAAATTTTTAGAAAATTTATTAATAAAATTATTTATCTTCCTCTCATTTATATTCCTAAAATCATAATAAATTCTAACTTATTCTTCACTCTTAATTCTCATCATCTTCATCATCTAATACATCACTCCCTTATTTCTATTTTTAAAAAATTTAGATTCCTAAACACTATGATATATAATTATTTTTATTCTTCTCACAACCTTAATGAAAAATAATAAAATCTTTTTTTTTATTTTTATTTCTTCATTTTTTTCATGCTTATTTCTTCATCATCCGCATCTTCATAATCCATTCTCACACTTGTCTATTCTTATTTTATTACTTTCATTATTTCTCGAATTTAAAAAATTTTATAAAATTTATTAATAGAATTATTTATCTTCGACTCACTAATATTCCTAATAAGTAATAAATCTCTTACCTATTTCTACATCTTCATACTCTTCATTTCATCCTCACATCTCATCATTTCTCGATTCTTATTTTATTACTTTAATTATTTCTCGAATTTAAAAATTTTTAGAAAATTTATTAATAAAATTATTTATCTTCCTCTCATTTATATTCCTAAAATCATAATAAATTCTAACTTATTCTTCACTCTTAATTCTCATCATTCAATAACAACACATCTCTTTTCTTATCTTAAATATTTAATTATTTCTCGAATTTAAAAAATTTTATAAAATTTATTAATAGAATTATTTATCTTCGACTCACTAATATTCATAATAAGTAATAAATCTCTTACCTATTTCTACATCTTCATACTCTTCATTTCATCCTCACATCTCATCATTTCTCGATTCTTATTTTATTACTTTAATTATTTCTCGAATTTAAAAATTTTTAGAAAATTTATTAATAAAATTATTTATCTTCGTCTTACTTACATTACTACTCCATTTCTGAATCCTCATTCTCATCATCATCATCTTACTAAACATCAATTTGCTATTTCTCCTTTTAAAAAATTTAGTTTCCTAAACACTATGATATTCAATTATTTCTCTTCGACTAACCCATCTTTCCAAAATTATAATAAAAATATCTCATCATCTTCAGCTTGCATTCTAATACTTGACCGAAATAGCGAAAAATACCGATAATTACCGATAAGGTGTAATATCAGGATATCACCTCCTAGGAATAAGTGAGTAGAAGATAAATAATTTTATTAATATATTTTATAAAATTTTTTAAATTCGCGAAATAATTAAATATTTAAGAGAAGAATATAGTTGTGTTGTTATTGAATGATGAGATGAAGTATGAAGAATAAGTAAGATTTTATTCGTTTTTAGGAAGAAAGGAAAGACTAAGAAAAATAATTTAATATTATATCAATAAGAAAAATAAAGAGATTAGAATAAGCTTCAAGATATGAGAATGCAAGCTGAAGATGATGAGATATTTTTATTATAATTTTGGAAAGATGGGTTAGTCGAAGAGAAATAATTGAATATCATAGTGTTTAGGAAACTAAATTTTTTAAAAGGAGAAATAGCAAATTGATGTTTAGTAAGATGATGATGATGAGAATGAGGATTCAGAAATGGAGTAGTAATGTAAGTAAGACGAAGATAAATAATTTTATTAATAAATTTTCTAAAAATTTTTAAATTCGAGAAATAATTAAAGTAATAAAATAAGAATCGAGAAATGATGAGATGGTAAAGAAAACAGTGTGCCGCAAAATAACTATCCAAAAAATTCTAAATTATGTAAGGTATATCCGTTGATTGCCTAAGCAAAGGTGATCTTTTGGGCGAGCATTATGTGTTAATGGATTTTCCCAACCATTACACTATAATTATTATTTATCTTTATTTCCTGTGTCACCTCCCATTCACATGCTTATGTTTATATATTGTTTATTGTTTCACCGATAAATCAGTTCCCAGTTAGTCAGTCTTTTATATGTGCCCAAAGAGGAAGCACACCGGTGTTGCTTGGTAAAGGCTTAGCTAGGGTCTGGCCAACCCAATAGCTTTCCTTAGGGAATATAATGGTAACAGTGCCTAGGTTTAGTTTTAGAATGGACCCAGCATAATTCCACTCAACTGGTAGCACCGGATGCCGAAGTGATGCTTTGGCGATCCTGAGGCTCTTGGGCAGAAAATGGAATGGAAAGAATATGGAGAATATGAACAACAGCAAATGGAAACAACATATGAAAATGGAGAATATGCTTTTGGGCAGAAAATGGACATTTTGGGCAGAAAATGGACAAGGCACATGGAATGGTTGATTTGGCAAAAAAATGGAACATGAAAATGGCAGAGCAAGTTTAAAAGCTTTAAAAAAATGGGGACACGGGAACTCGCGCGCTAAAAAATGCTTCGGCAATTAAAAAAAAAGACCATGCATGGCAGAAATAGTAGAAAATATTTTAGGGCAAAGTTTATAGAAAAATAAAATCAGGGCATAATTATAAAGAAATAAATATAGCATAAGACCCCGGGGCAGCATAAATAATGGGCAGATTAAAATAAAATAATGAGTAATCTAAGATGTAAGACCATGGCGTTCAATATAGGCTTAGGCCATTTAATGGGTATAAGTAAGCCCTTGTAAAAATATCCAGTAAAATAGAAAAAATTTTTTAGATATAAATAGAAAAAGGCCCTAATTAAGAATATGAGTTAAAAATTTTATATTGAGATTTTATGACGATTTAAGTTTTTGATCTAATTAATTTTTGTTTCTCCTGGATTAGTAGATAAGTAAAATGAAAAAATAAATTAGGTACAATCTCCCTAGGGAACTAAACGGGTTTTTTTCTAAATATTTTATAGGACTTTAAAAAAAAAATTATAGTAAACTAAGTGATTCTAAACAAAAAAGGTGTAATATTATATAAAAATTTAATTAATAGTGGAAAGTTAATAATATAAGTATATTTTTGAGAGAAATTGCAGAAAAGCGTCTAAATGTAAAGCAAAAGAACGATCAATATTAGATAGCGCAATTAATAAAAGCAAAATCTCTCGGGATAAAATGGATACCAACTTTTTATTTATTAACATTCAAAATTTATGTTTTTTCGTTTAACTTTTAATCTACTCATTATCTGTATTACCTATTCAGATTTATATTTTTGACATCTACATTACAGTGAATTTTTTTTTCTTTCAATTTTTTTGTTAAAAAAAATTGTTTCTTTCATTATTTAATCTTCTCTGCGTTAAAAAAATTCACCTACTAAATTAGCGGAGAAAAATTTGAACTTTTGTCTGCCTAGGCATTATATATTTTTAAATATTTAGACTACTTTCAGAGTTTTTTTTTAAATTTGAGAAACCAGGCAAATATGTTTATTAATCATCTAAAACAGAACAAAGTCCATTGTGTGAAAAATTATATATATTTTTTTTTCATTCTAATGGTTTAATCTCGGAAGTATTATTTCCTTACATTATATTTCTTTTATACTTTCACCCTTACAAAGTGAAATTAATAGTGATTCATATTTCAAACACTTTTTCTCACTAAATGTGTTTTATTGTTGTTTTTAGAGGAAATCATTTAATGGCCTAGGCTATATTAACGGTTATAATTTATTTTTTATTATGTTTCTGAAATTTTTATTTGAAATTTTTTTTTAAATTCACTTTAAGTACCTACAAATTTTTTTATGGATCTAAGATGCTCCCTTTTTAGTTAGATTAATCGGTAGAGTGCATAAACAGCATGGGCCCGGTGAAAAAATAATAGAGAATTTAAATGATATAATATGCCCAGTAATTTTGCGAGAAATAAATTAGTTAAAAAAAGGGGGGATTTCAGTAATTATTCTCTGTAAAGTGTGTGTTTTATTCAATTGTATTTACTGCCTAGGCAAATTAAGGATTTTAAATTATAGATTTTTCTTTTTCTTTTTTTTCTTAAAAACTATGTAGATCGAGCAAGGGAGTTTAGATACTTCTATGAAATTTTAGTTAATTTGTGTTCAAATAATTTTATTTAACATTTTCAGATATAAGCTGGATAAAGGGTCCTTAGTTTTATGAATCCTAAATAATTTTGTTATTTCTCAAGAATTACAATTTAAGCACTGTTCCTTTTACTATAAAATATAATTTAACTCTATTTAAGTTTTTATCAATTTCACTATTTTGTAGTTTATATCCTTAAATAGATTAAAATAGTTTAAGGATTAAAATAGTATAACAAATAAATAAGGGACATATTAAAAAGAAGTAAAAATTAAAAAGAATAATTATAGGAAGTCTCAGGAAGTCCCAGGAATTATAGGAAGTCCCCCATCCAATGTAGGCTTAGGCCATTATAAGAATTATGTATTAAGAAAAGCAAAAAAAATATATAGAAAGCCTCTAGTTAAAACATAAGTTGAAAAAGCCCATATTTTGTCAATATTTTCAGAGATAATTTAAAAAAAAAACTTTTTAATTAATAAGATAAAAGTTTGGAATGGATTTTAGCAAATAGCTAGAAAAGTTTTAACGTGCTGATAGGAAGTTTAAAAAAAAAGAAGTAGTAAAATACTTAGGTATTTCAAAAATAAAGGAATTTCAAGTCAAGAAAATGAAAATGGGAATATAAGGAAAATGGGAATATAACTGAGAGATTAGATAATAGAAAGTGGGAAAACATCGATCTTAGTAGCGAAATTAAAAAAAAAAGCAAGCTTTTTATTTATAAAATGGAGGCCAAAGTTATTGTATTCAGATTCAAAATTTAATTTTGTACTTCTTTTAATTTTTGATCTATTACTTATCTTCATTGTTTAGGCAGTCTTCATATTTTTACTATTAGTATTTTACAATCAAGACTTCATCTATTTTCAAAAAAACACTTTTATTAATATTTTTTTTCTCCATTTTTGTTAAAAGTCAAATTTAGATTAAAGGGGAAATAAGAATTTAAGAAAAAAAAATTCTTTTTGGTGACTAGACATATTTTTTTCAATTTTCGGCAATTTTAGGAGTTTTTTTTTAAAGAGGGAAGCTTTAAGGAAACTTCTTAATCTCGAACGAAAAACAAACATTTAGTACAAGTTTCATTTTCTTTGTTTATGTATTTGCTTATTATTTTTCCTTTCCTTCTATCTGATCTTTTAATCGGTGACATTCAGAAATTATTACATTATTTTCACATATTAAGTATAAATTCATTAATAGTGATTCTTTTTAGTCTCGCCTCTTTTCAAATTTTTTTATTTTTGCAAACAGTCATTTGAAAGCCTAAGCTATTACAACTTGTTTAATTTTTTTTTCATAATGATATTTCTTGAAAATTTTCTTTAGAATTTCTTATCTCTTCCCAATCAAAAAAAGCTCAAGAATTTGGATGTTAGATGTGCCTAGGCAGTTTTTAGGATTTAAAAATTGAGTAATAAAAAAAAAGAGAAGAGAAGTACCAATTAATATACAATATACTAAATATTAGAAGCTCACAAATTTAATTTCAAGTTAAATTAAATTTTAGGAAGATAAACGATTGTTGTAAATAAATAAAGAAAAGGGGAATAAGTAAAAAAAAAGAAACTTAAAGCTGGGTATTTTTAAAATAAAGGAAAAAAAAAGAATAAACAATAAGTCTTTTTTAGGGGAGATCAGCAGAAAGGTAAAATAAAGCGAAAAATATGTTTAATAACAAAGAAAGCTGAAAATTGATTAATGGTGACAGCTCAGGCAAAATCTGTTATAAAAGGCAAAATTTCTAGGGATGGCAGAAAATAATTCTTAATTCGTTTATGGTTTCTGTTGATCCAATTTATTCTTTATCTATTTATTAATTTTGGTGTTTAGGCACTCATCAGTTTTCTATATTTCTTTTCTCTCATGTCATAATAAATATTTCTATTTCGAAAAAGGGCTTAGGTAATGCGCATTCACAAAATCCTTAAGGATAAACAGCCTTAAATGGTTGAGGATAAAAAGTATTAAGGAATCAAGGTTAAAATGCTTAAAACTCTTAAAACCTTAAATAACCATATTTCAATTTAATAATTTTGTTTTTTCTCATTTTGTATATTGACGTGGAAGGAAAATTTATAATTCTGATTTGCCTAGACAATATATTTTCAATTTTTGCAAATAGATTTTAAAAGTTTTTTTATGCTGGGTAATTCTAGATGCCCGTATGAATCCCAAAACGTTAGGAAGGAACAATCATACTAAAGTTAATTTTAATTTTTTTTTATATAAGAATTAATTTCTCTTTGCAACAGATATTTCCACACCGCAGTCATAATTTCCTGCCATTTTTAGAGAAAAATACTTTCTTATATGAAAGAAGAGACATTAATAATGATTCATCCTTTATATTATTTAGTAGGGATTTAGTAATGTTCTTTTTCAAATTTAATTACTTAAAGGCCTAGGCTAACAAATAGATTTTTTCATAATGGGTTTTTTTTTGAAAGTTTTAGTTACCATTTCATATACTTTACTAAGAAAAACCTAGAACTTTAATATTTAAATCGCCTTTAAACGCAGTAATAATCTGAAAATGTTACGCAGTTCAATAATAGATTTTTCTCCTTCAGTTTTTTTTTCTTTTAAAGGCGGATAAGGAGAATTTCATATATTCTGTTATGAGGTTGAATTAATGAATAAATGTTTTTATTTAACTAATCTATATGGAAATACTGTTACGGTGATAATCTGGAAGATAAGGTTAAAAAAAAGCCTAGGTTATTACAAAGTGAAACTTTCCATAATGAAATTCTGTAAATTTCAAAAATTAGGGTTTTTGGTATTTTATTCTCAGGCATTTTTGGATCGACAATTTTTTTTTGTTCTCTTTTCTTTAGTCATACCTAATCTTTAAAGAGAGCAATTTTGTGAAAAATAAGTATAGTTAAAGTAAAAGATATTTGTATTAGTAATTGGTGTATTTTTAACTTAAACTTTATAAATTGTCTAGGCATTAAGGATTTTAATTTATTTATTCTTATTTTCCTACATTCTTTTAATATGTTTTTGAAAATTATCTGGGGTAAACATCGAGATTTTGTACCTTCTTTTAAGAACAGTTTAATTATCTTTTGGTTTGAATGTTCTTATCTAAGTTAATCCATACAAAAATTGTAATACAGTAATAATCTGGAAAATTTGGTCAATAAAATCACACTCTACATAATTCGTTTTTGATAATTCCTCCTAAATAATTCGTCTTATTCTCGTTTTTTTTCGGAATATTAGATATCATCAAAAAGCCTAGGCTATTACACGTGCAATATTTTCATAATATTTTTGGACACCTTCATTTAAAACTTCATTTTTTTATTAAAATCAAATAATGGTACTCAATGGGCTTAGGAGCTTTTGAATTTACAAATTCTTTTGTCTAAATCAGTATTAATAT